TTCATGATGGAGTTGAAAGTGGTGACGTGGATACCACCGCTTTCAAGACCAAGCACAGAAGGCTGGAAAAGAGCCTCAGGAGCACGGAAACGCTCGTTCCCAATGGTGATGACCTGTCCGTCGGGAAGTTCGTACGACTTCTCCAAGCTGGAAGACTGGCTGGCAGTCTGGATCTCCTGCTCAAAGTCGAGCGCAACGTAGCAGAGCTTCTCTTTGATGTCACGGACGATTTCGCGCTCGGCCGTGGTGGAGAAGGTGTAACCACGCTCAGCCAGGATCTTCATGAGGTAATCAGTCAGATCACGACCAGCCATGTCGACACGGGAAATGGCGTGGGGAAGCGCGAAACCCTCGTAGATGGGGACAACGTGGGTGACACCGTCACCGGAGTCGAGCACGATACCGGTGGTACGTCCAGAGGCGTACAGGGACAGGACAGCCTGGATGGAGACGTAGAAGGCGGGTGCGTTGAAAGTCTCGAAGACGATCTGGGTCATCTTCTCACGGTTGGACTTGGGGTTGATGGGAGCCTCGGTGAGGAGGACGGGGTGCTCCTCGGGGGCGACACGCAACTCGTTGTAGAAAGTGTGATGCCAGATCTTTTCCATGTCATCCCAGTTGGTGACGACACCGTGTTCAATGGGGTATCGCAGCGTCAAGATACCACGCTTCGACTGTGCCTCATCACCAACATATGAGTCCTTCTGGCCCATACCAATCATGATTCTGCGGTTTCTGTCAGCTCACAAGCCACGTCATAGCCGGTCCGGAGAGATCGTCCTACCCGTGATGGCGCGGTCGGCCGACAATGGAAGCTGGAATTGAGTTAGCATGTACATTTCGATGCGCTAGAGCCGGCAGAAGCACGCAAAAAATCTGTTTCCTGCGCGTCCATGGAGGCGTGGAGGGAGACTTACGAAAGACTGCACGGGGCGCATCGTCACCGGCGAAACCGGCTTTGCACATACCCGAACTAAGCAATTGTCAGCTCAAACTCATCAATATGCTGCAGCTCGCGCGCTCCTGCCCGCCATGTCAAGATTCTGCGAAGGTGGGTGGGCAAGGGCGTCATGGCGGGCGATGCGGCGAGCCCCTCCACTGCAGGGATGGTGCTTCGTGGAAGATCGAGGGGGGGCGGCCAACTCACCCATTGTCGATGACGAGAGCTGCGACTTCCTCTGCGCACGAAGAAACAAAGGTTAGCTGAGTTGCTTGAGACGCGAACACGGGTTTTGGGCGATGGACAGAGGGTGGTGCGGAGAGGGCGAGAGAAGCTGCTTACCCTCCATGTTGATTGATTAGGTTTCGATTAGAGGTAAAAGGGCGTTGAGCGGTGGGTGGAGCGATGTGGAATAGCTGCAGCGATTGAGAGTCAGTAGGAGATGGGCAGAGAGAAGGCAGCAGAGCCGTACGGAGGAGTTATTTGGCGGCGCGGGAGGGATCGGGGGGTGCGGGTGGTTGGAGGGGAGGGGAGGGGAGCTTACGAGTTGCGGGCGGTGTTGGGAGGTGAGGTTCTTGTGCGCGAGGCAAGAACTGGGTGTGCTAAATAAGCGGGTCGACCTTGCCCAGATTTAGCGGGGTGGCAGGAGCGAAGCAGGAGGCTTTTGCACCAGACCAGCCCGACCGCTCCAACAGAATCGAGGGCGATTGGCGACGACGGGTGTTGGCTGTTGTTGCTGTTGGCGATGGACGGTGGATAGGGTGGCACGCTTGCTGGCTGCATAGAGGCTGCTTTTCTTTCTTGATGTATGGATACACTGCACTGCTCTTCGGCTCTCTCTAGGCTGCAGTACTCTATTCTGCACAGTCTGCGCATTCTGCCCTTTGCTTGTTCTTGGCTCGTTGTACAGTACTATTCGCACCCTCTTCACTTGTCTACGCAAGCTTTTCCGCCACACACACACACACACACACACACACACACACCCAACACGCAGGAAAGCTGCTGTCCACGCACGTCAAAAAACAGACCGCCAGGCAGCGCTGTTGACACGCTTGGCAAGGGAGCCGTGCCAGTTTTGCCAGATGGTCTATTGCGTATCGGTACTACGTGTTCCCATCAGCGCGTGCTCCAAAAGCGCATGCCTAGCACACACACGCACACACACACACACACACACACAATATAGGAGTACGGAGTGAGCGGTCGGGCATGGTAGCATTGCGATCTCCCAGCCATCGCCTGTTGCTCAGTGCTCAGTGCTCAGTGCTCAGTGCTCAGTGCTCAGTGCTCAGTGCTCAATCCTCAGTGCTCAGTGCTCAATGCTCAATGCTCACCGCCAACTCCCTCCCTCCCAGCCCGGCAGCGGCCAGCCCCAGCCCTCATCAGCACCAGCACCAGTACGGTTACAATACCACCAGCATTGCTGATCCCCGCTGTGCACACATACACTACGGCTAAGGGAAGATGGGCCGACGGGCGGGCCCACCACAGTCACGTGCATCGCGGGGCAATTCGAGCGCACCTGGGCAAAGGGCGACATCTGACATAGCATCTGTGAATTCAGCAATACGGTACTTGATGTACGAATACTCCCGTATCAAAGTTGCCATTTGCAGAAATGTACCTTGTCCCCATGATTCATGCCGCCTGTTCCGTCTTCAGATAGACTTTCTTCTGGCGCAATGTCATGTACTGTGTAGACACTCTAGCACGCCAGCCAGGCGTGGAAGGTCTGCGAAGCTGCTAGTGTCTTCCAGCGCCAATTGAAATCTGCGTCATGCTAAATGTTCGCGCCCCAAAACTACCACTACCACTACTACTTCTTCACGGGTCTGCACCTGGTCATACAACTATCCAAACCATACTGTAAACTCTGCAAGTACCCCCCTACCAAGCCGCACACCAAATCACATCCAACATCATGAACGACCCGGGACTCAACAACCTCCTCAAGTGGGGCATTCAAAACTCAGAAGCCTCGCGCGAGGCCGCCGCCGCCGAGGGGCAACCACCTCCCAAACTCGACATCGAGGCGCTGCAGCGTCTGGTCACAGGCATGTCAGGCCCGTCCGATGCTGAGCTGATGAAGGCGAGCATGGAAGTCATTCAGAACGAAGAGGCAGAGCTGGAAAACCGCATCACGGCTTTTGACAACTTCGAGCAGCTCATCGAGAACCTGGACAATGCAAACAACTTGGAGAATCTCGGCCTGTGGATGCCTCTGGTAGACCAACTGGAGAACAAAGAGGCCGAACTGAGACGCTACGCCGCCTGGTGTTGCGGTACGGCCGTTCAAAACAACATCAAGACCCAGGAACGAGTAAGTGATCCTTGGTCTTATCGCTGCCAAGTGAGCATCATCACTAATCCGTCGCAGCTACTCGTTGTCGGTGCTATCCCCAAGCTCGTACGAATGGCCACTTCCGATTCCGAGAACAAGGTGCGCAAGAAAGCAATCACGGCACTGTCATCGTTAGTGCGCAATTTCCAAGCTGCCCTTGACGACGCGGTTTCGCATATGCCCGCCGATTTCAAGCCTCAAGAGAAGCTTGATGCAAACGATATGGATTCGGTGGACATTTTGATCAATAAACTCCGTGAGACTGTATAGGGAGGTTTGATTTGCATTGGGTCGGCGTTCTGGTCTTGTATTTTGGTCAGCATTGGGAAGGCGCATGGATTGCAAACTTGCAATTGGAATCGGAACAATCAGAGGACATACCCCATGTAGATTGCACGGAAGCTCGTCGAGTGGGCTGGTCTTCCGTCGTTGCTAATGGCGAATATACGCAAAATATAAACGAATAAAACTTCACACAACCTCCAGTATCAGGCCAATCAGCTCTGCGAAATTGTCTCTTCCAGTCATGCTCTTGTCTAAACCCATGCCAAGGACCACCATGCGGGTTTCTCTTTCGTTGCGCGTCTTGACGGCACTGGCAATCTGAGTTGCAAGCGTCTGTCCGAGAACATCGAGGTCTGCCATGGTCCCACCCAGGATTGTTGTAGCCGTGAGATGGTGCATGGGAAGAAGGTCGGAATTGGGGCCTTGATCTTCGTCGTCGACATAGGCATTGGAAGTCATTGGGGCGTCGGTTGCAGAGATGTCGAGGGGCACATGCACCTAGATTGGATGAGTCCAGGTTTGCGGTGGTATCATCAGGGACAGATATTGCACATACCCAGTGGGCCAACCGGCCGTTCTGTGTGACGGTGATGAGTATCTTGTCGACAAAATCTACGCTCGTCACCGTCGTCTCCATGCCCTGAATGGTGGCCGAGGCCGTCTTGGTGCGCGCAGGGTAGGCTGCAGGAGTGACGGTGTAGCTCTCTGCACCATTCGTCGTTGTTGTTGGCGGTACTGTCGTCATCGCAGCCATTGTATTGACTGTGTATCCAGGTTTGATGTTGTGTGGGATAACAGGTGACGAGGCGCAATGAACGAGTGCAATCATATGCAAGCTGCGGGAGTGATGCGGAGCGAACCTTGGCCGCTCTCCCACTAAGTTAGTTGGCTTAGCTGCTAAGTTAATGTTAGCCTCTCAAGGCCCCACCTAAATTTCAGAGCGAGCGCTGATTTCTGTACGGACAGCATCTATCAGGTCCAACGTGTGCAAGATGACGAATTTTCCATGATTGCTGGAACCACCGCAGATTGAATATCACTTCCTTCTCTGAGACCTCCTCATCGTATATCCACATCACCATGCCGCCAAAGTTTGAACATCGGCAGCGAAAGCACAAGGTCGTCGCCCGTCGCAAAGCCTCTCATGGCGATTTCCAACCAGACGGCAATGCTGCCGAAATTCTGCCAGCAGAGCAACGGGAACACAATGAGAAGAAGGCTGCTATCAAGGAGGAACTTGTGCGCGAGGCGCGAGGCAAGATCAGCGGCAAGAAGAAGAAGCGCCTCGACAAGTACATTGTATGTCTAGGAGGATATTCCGACATGCGGTCGCGGTAGGCACTAACCGTCGCAGGACACAAAACTCAAAAAGGAGGAGAATCTTGCGCTTCTGAAGAAACTCGAGTCACAAAAGGTCGACACAAGCTTGTTCCAGAGTTCCAAGAGGCTCGGTAGCGGCGCAGGCTCCAAACGAGAGACGTTGCGTCGGGCACTGGCTGAGAGCCGGGCAGGCATCGACGTCGAGAAGAACCAACGTCTACTGCTGGAAAAGCGGGTGGTCAGAGAAGACCACTCGGACAGCTCCGACGGCGAATCGGCCCCCACGACAGTGTCACGGAAAGAACACCGCAGAGCCGTCTCGAATTCCCACCATACACGGCCCACATCACCACAGAAAGATCAGCCAGAGGGCCAACAGGAAAACCAATCAAGCGCTAGTTCCTCTGTCTCGCCCACTGTAACATCTGCGCCTCGGCTTGCAAGTGCCGGTCTGTTTGGAAGTGGTCTCAAACGCCCTTTGGACGTGGACGAGACAGGCCAGCCAGTTATACAAGTGCGCAAACGTAGAAAGCACAAGGCCGTACCCGCGACCGTAGTAGAAGAGCCGGTAGAGTGGGAGGGCTTCAGTTCCGACGAGGACGAGCCTGCAGAACCAACCGTCGATAATGAGACCAACGAACACGACGGGTCAGTGTCGTCTGGCTCGGAAGATATTGAGCAAGAGTCAGAAAGTGATGCTGACGAGTCAACATCTGGTTCGGAGGTGACGGACAGCGAAGAAGAGGAGAATTCCGATGACGACAGCGATGAGGACAGTGATACTAGTCAGGATGAGAATTCAAAAATTGCCAGGAAAGAGCGAACATCTGCCTGGAAAGCTTGGGCGACGCAGCAGAGAAATGAAGCGGTCGGTTTCACTCCCACGAACAACCTCGAGTATGCGCTTCCACCAAGACCAGCAAACTTCCAGCCACGAGCACCCGAGCAGGACCCCTTACCGCCGGAGTTGGCAACAAATACCGCGACCGATGCCACGAGGAAAGCCTTCAGTGTAAATGTCGAAAGATCGCCAGAGATACAAGCATCGAGACTACAACTTCCCATTGTGGCTGAGGAACAGAAAATTATGGAAGCGATTCACAACAACGATGTAGTAGTAGTGTGGGGTGCTACGGGTAGTGGCAAGACCACCCAGGTACCGCAGTTCCTCTTTGAAGCCGGGTACGGCGCAGTAGATGGGCCAACGCCGGGCATGATTGGTGTTACTCAACCGCGACGAGTGGCAGCCGTCAGCATGTCGAAACGTGTCGGTGATGAACTCCAAGACCACAAGTCAAAGGTGGCTCACCAGATTCGCTTCGACACGACGACAAGTTCCAAAACTGCCATCAAGTTCATGACGGACGGTGTGCTTCTTAGGGAGATTACACAGGACTTTGTGTTGACTAAATATTCAGCCATTGTCATTGATGAAGCGCACGAGCGCAGTGTGAACACAGATATATTGATAGGCATGCTCAGCCGAATCGTGGACCTGCGCGCTCAATTGGCCAAAGAAGATCCAAAGAACAAGCCCCTGAAGCTGATCATCATGTCTGCGACACTGCGAATTTCAGACTTCACAGAAAACAAACAGCTATTCAGAAATGAACCTCCGCCACTGATCAAAGCAGAGGGTCGCCAATACACAGTCACAAATCACTTCGCGCGGAAAACGCAACGAGACTATGTTGAGGAAATGTATCACAAGGTTTGTCGTGGGCACCGAAAGCTACCCAAGGGGGGCATGCTTGTCTTCCTGACAGGTCAAAATGAGATCTCACAACTCGCAAAACGGCTAAAACAAGCTTTTCCCTCTACTCAAGGGCAGGAGATTAAATCTGGCAAGGTTGTCATATCTCCTGCGGAAGTTCCGTTGGAGACTGAAGACATTGAACTTGGACCCGATGGCAACACCTTCGAAGATGACGACGGTTCAGACTCGGAAGGCTCTATGATTATGGGCCTCGATAATGAAGACGATGGCGAATTCGATATCAAGGAGGAAAGCGCAGAAGAAACAGTCATGAACGTACACGTTCTTCCCCTTTACTCACAATTACCGACCAATCAGCAACTGCGGGTCTTTGAACCACCTCCAGAGGGGTCTCGGCTCATCGTGCTCGCAACCAATGTCGCAGAAACAAGTTTGACAATCCCCGGCATTCGCTATGTCTTCGACTGTGGACGAGCGAAGGAGAAAAAGTATGATCTTGTTACGGGCGTTCAGAGCTTCGAGGTGGGTTGGATCAGCAAAGCTAGTGCGAACCAAAGAGCTGGTCGTGCAGGGCGAACGGGTCCCGGCCACTGTTACCGTCTATACTCATCTGCGGTGTTTGAGCGTGACTTCGAGGAGTATGCTGCGCCTGAGATTTTGCGAACGCCACTGGAGGGTGTCGTGTTGCAGCTGAAGAGCATGGGCGCTCCAGTCATCAATTTTCCATTTCCAACTCCGCCTGATCGCACAAGCTTACAAAGAGCCGAAAACCTGCTCTCTTACTTGGGCGCGCTATCTGCGGATGGTAAAGTGACCAAATTGGGTCATGAGCTTTCCTTATATCCGCTGAACCCTCGATTTGCTCGTATGGTGGCCATGGGTGTTGCGCAAAAGTTGACAGCAGAGACCATCGCACTTGTATCTGCACTCTCTGTACCCGAGCTCCTAACACCAGAGAACAAGCTCGGCCTGCGTGAGCCGGTAAAGGAACCAGACGCAATCCGAACCGAACAAGATAACATTGAAGCCGAAGAGCGGTCTCGTCTCCGCAAATCCTACAACGCTGCCCAAGCCAAACTAAGCATCAATGCGAAGCAAAGCGACTGCATCAAATTCAGCAACGCCGTCTGCGCCTACGCATATGAGACAGACCCCCACCGTTTCTGCGAAGACATGTTTCTCAACGCCAAAGCCATGAACGAAGCCAGTCAACTCCGCCAGCAACTCACCAACATTGTCCGCGCCCATCGCCCCACAGCAATCGGCTCCTACCAGGCAAAACTACCCGGCCCCACCGACCGCAGCATCAACATCCTTACGCAAATCTGCGCAGCAGGCTTCATCGACCAAATCGCCATGCGCGCCGATCTTGCACCCGTCCCACCCGAGCTCTCCCGGAAGCCGAAGACAGCAATAGACGTCCCCTACGTAACCCTCTTCTCCTCGCAGACCGATCGCTGCGATGATCCAAACGCACAATATGTATACCTACACCCATCCTCGCTTCTCGCGCGCACCCCGCCCGCCAAAATGCCGGGCTACATTATTTACTCGCATCTCCAACGCGCGGCTACTTCGACCGTTAATGCGAGTAAAACGCCCAAGACGCGCATGCATGCTCTCACGCCGGTGACGAGGCCTCAGATTATCAATATTGCGCTGAATACGCCGTTGTTGCAGACGGGGAAGCCGATGGGGAAGATTGTGGAGTTGGAGAGGGAGAGGAGGGAGTGTGAGGTTGAGATGAGTTTGGTGGGGGAGAAGGGGAGGCAGGGCTGGGGGTTGGGTGTTAGGAGGGTTGTTCAGAGGAAGGAGAAGAGTGGACGGTGGGTTGTTGAGAGGATTGTTGTGTGAGTGCTTTTGTTTGGGGGGTTGTTGTGATGGACGTTAGTTTGGCTGGTGGGTTTTACATGGCTATTGAGATATATGATACAAAGCCAACATGGGTTGAAGTCAAGAAGGTATCATTTATGCCATATAAGACTATTCTACAAAGCCGTTGTTGTTGTTGCCTTCATGTTAATCTGACATCGCACTCTCAACAGTGAACTTTGTCTCACACCATCATACTCCACCCCTCACTCACTCAATCCCTCGAAACAGCAGTCTCAGCAGCGACCTAAATCAAATCAGCATCCACTCCACCACTCGAGCTCCAAGAAACAGGAAAAAGGGAAAAAAAATCACCATACCTTTTCATTCATAAGCACATTAACCTCCTTCTCATGCTCAACGCTCTTCCTAGCCTCTGCATCCACCGCTCCAACCCCAACACACTTGTACTTTCCAAAATTGCGCGCCGAAAGCCCAGCATTGAACATCTCGTCGATTTCCTCGAGCGTCCTGTTCTTGGCCTCGGGGAGGAAGAAGAAGACCCAGGTAGCGGCAATAACGCACGAGGGGAACCAAATGAAACCATATCGGGGCCCCCAATTCATAGCCATGGGGTTGATAAAGTAGGGTGCCGTAAAAGTGGTCAGCCAAGCGCCTACGAAGCCAGCCGAGGCGGCGAGACCAAAGGTGTGGCTGCGGAGACGCTGGGTGGGGAGTTCGCCGCCGGCGAGCCAGGCATAAGTACTAATCATGCCGTTGTAGGAGAACATGTAGATTGCGGTGAGGCCGACGGTGACTTTGCCTGTGGATTTTGCGTTTGGGGCTTTGTGGTAGACGACTGCGATGATGAGTTGGAGGAAGCCGCAGACGAGGAGGCCGGTCATGAGGAGGACGCGGCGGTTGCCGTAGCGGACGACGATGAGGGAATTTGCGATGAAGGCGAGGATGCTGATGGCGGAGAGGACGTTTGACATGGCGAAGGGGTCGGACACTTTGGCCATTTGTAAAAAGTAGGCTTTGAAGGCGATGATGAACATGGAGCCTGATGCGGCTTGGAGGAGGACGGCGCAGACGGCGAGGGTGGTGCGGCGTCGGTCGACGGGGTTGGAGAACATGTCCAGCCAGCCTACGCCGGAGCTGAGTTCTCTTTCTTGGTCGAGGGCGGCTTGGATGGTGGATGCTTCGGCGTGGGAGTCGTGGCCTTTTGGGCGCAGCCATTCGAGGGCCTTGACGGCCTCGTCGAAGCGGCCGCGGAGGATGAGCCAGCGCGGGGATTCGGGGATGAACCAGATGGTGCAAATGATGATAAAGGGGAAGATGTAGATGAGACCTAGTGGGATCAGGTATGCGGACTTGTCGGGGCGCTTTGCCGTGGCCCAGTCTACGATTGTGCCGATGAGGGTGCCAAACGAGACGAAGAAGTTGAATGCGGTGAGGAAGAGGCCGCGGAGTTCAGCGGTACTGGTTTCTTGCAGGTAGAGTTGGGCAAAAGTCATAAAGTACCCGTTTGCAAGACCGATGATCAGACGGCCGGCGTACAGAGCACCGATGTTTTCTGTGGTCATCATGATGATGTTGGCGATGAAGCACGTTACGCATGCCATGACGAGACACATCCGGCGACCCAGACGCGTAGAGGGAATACCAGCGGTGGCGGAACTGATGAAAGCACCAAGTGTCATGAGGGACGAAATGAGCTGTTGTCTCTCGGTGGTGATGTTCCATCCTGTCACTGTCTTATTTGTCTGATATCCAAAGACCTGTCGTCGATGTGAGCAAAGTCAGGGTCCAAGAAGATGGCATGTTGATCGTACCTGAAGAAAGCCTTTCATAGCCTGCAACCCACCAATCATACCAAAGTCAAATCCATACTGGAAAGGACTAAGAATCACAATACCACAAGCAATGAACAGCCCCGAATGCTCGCGCCAGGTATGAACCTTGTTGCTCATGATGTCGAATAACTCACGAGTGTGGTGAAGCTGGGTTCGGTCCTACACGGTAGATTGAAACATATGTATACATGGATCCCTTATATACTGGGTCGCCTCAGATCTACGGAAAAGGTTGCCCGGCATGGACTGATGCATGCGAGATTAGCCATCTGCCGAACACTGTTGCCAAGGCTCGCTGTACATGAGAGGTGACAGCTGGTGACCCCACACGCATGGCGTTGTGGGAGTAGCGAATGGCGGAGAGAACTTGGCGGTAACTCGTATCGAGATGTGGGGAAGGATTGAATATGTTGACTAGAGACGGCTCACTGAGTTACATAGGTATCGTGTCGACTTCCGTGCGATATTTAAGCTGAAACAAGCGGACCGCAGCGCGAGAAAAAAAAAGCAATGAGGACGATCATCGGAATAGGACGTGGGTGTTACTGCGCAGTAGTGCCGTGTATGTAGAATACCGCGATGTGTCGACATGGTCTGGGGTAGCATGAGTTGTTGGTATGGGGTTCACCACTTAGCGTGGTTGGGGATTGTGGGCCGTGGCGGGTTCGTGCGGGGAAACAAAAGCTTGTTTCATGGGTTCACGGAAGCGCTCCTATCTTGTCGATCACTTTGATGAAGGAATTGTGCTAGAGTACATTATCCTGTACTCACAAGTGAGTCGAGTGATTACAGGGTTAATTGCAGTCCCACTGCGATTTTAGTCATGGTATGGTATCCTTGTTACCATGCACCGCTATGATGCTGGGGAACTGATGCTAGATAGACCATACTCCGTCGAGGATATCCCATGCTAACATATAAGATGAAGCGTGGTTTTGAACCCTACCATTTTCAAGGGGCAATTTTGACTTTGCTAGACTTGTTTCATCTCAAGAAGTTCATTCGAATCTGTGCTATGACTTCCCAGTATTACATAAGGGCTCCGCCGCATCTATTTGAAACCCGTAAATGCTACAGCAGTATATGATCATGGATTCACAGATGTTAATTGTGAACTTGACGCAGGTCGACGCTACATTTGTCATGTGTCTATCACGTCTGCAGCCTGCGCCCGCTTGTGCACCGTGTCCAGTAAATACAAAACAACATGAACAATAATCTGTCTGCTGTATACTTGTCCCCACAAACAATCAGACCATACACTTTCAATGCCATGTATGCTAAAAATCGCAAGTTTTTTGTGCAAGAGATGATACATCACTTTGATGTCTTAGGTAGCTCCACACTGTGTCCCACCGTAAAGGCCATACAAGTACATTTGACGAATACCAGAGTATCAAAGTCTTTTTGTCACTCTAATCATATATTCCTATAGTATACTCTACTTCATCAATCCTGCCATATTCGTGAAGCTTGACGTTTTCACTTAAGTTCCGTCGCCTAGATACCACCACAACTTGCTCACTCTTTCCGAGAAAGATAAAAATTACCACAACAACAAAATCCTATTATGCAAAGTGACGAACAAAAATGAGGTAGGCAAGCAGTCTCGCCGAAAAAGCACCAATCACTAGTAAGAAAGATATGAAGGGCTTACTGGACAGCCAATGATGTTTAGCACAAATGTCTGCAGCATGCTATTCCAAGATATTTTAGACTTCTGACTCCCAGTCCTATACACTTCCCGTGTGGCGGTAGTGTAAAGTATGAGACAGGGTGTGTAGGACACGATACGTTACAATACAATACACCACAATACTACAATACACTAGAAATAATAATAGCAATGCACACAGCGTAGACTAGATTAAATAATATACAATATGCACCCATCGTGCCCATCATAGAGGAAAGATGTGAATTTAGTTCTCGTGTTTATGAGAGAAAAAATGTAAGGGGGATGGGCTGGGTTGGGGTTAGAGATGTCGATGGCGATTGTCTGTGTTTGGTAGTATTCCTCAAACGAGCACTACTATTGGTGATGAACTGTGTCTAGTTGAAGTCATTGATTCTCCATGGAGTCACTGTCGGATGAGTTCACCGACGAATCGAGCACCGGCCTGTATCAACAAGGAAGAGATTCATTATTAGGATAGATGTCACAGGAAAGCAAGCAGACGCATATGCAACAAGCCTGTCTCACAAGAAAACAGAGTAACGTGTAAGGATTTTTTTTCTAAGGCCTCGTTCCGGTTCAGCCACAGAAGGACCATGGCCCAGCTACCTATTTCTCAGCTCGGTGGCCGATCTGAATCCGGCAGGTATCATTGTCGTGAGAATGTGCGCTGATAT